ACCATGGTAGAAGAAGAGTTTGTATCAAATCGCTTTTGCACACACAATTCTGGTCTTTCCAGATGTATGGCTAATGTTTTGGCAATGCAATGAAGATGCAGTCTAATTGTTTTGGGGAGGCTTCTACTTACGTTGTAAATGACTTTGAACACCGAGTCTGTCTTGATTGAGGGACCTGTGTTCACAAGGTGTTCGATTACTGAGCTTTTTATTGAGCCGTTTTCTCCTCTTTTTAGCCATGCCGGACAATGTTCTTAAATTTTTTTGGATAAAGTACTCATCAAACAACCTATAAACGTAGTTCCACATGAGCAGGTTAATTGATAAATGCACATTGGGTTGGTCGGATGCGATAATTCATCTTTAAGATTATTGGTGAATAATAATCGGCTGGAGAATACTATTCGTAATGTTGTTGCGGGGAATGTTCTTTTTAACGAATCGGAAATTCCCTTTTTAGGGTGTGTGTGTGTGGCTCTGTCACCCTTGAATTCGATGCTCATGTATAAAGTTTTCTTTTCTACTGTAGTTATCTGTGTTTTCGGCGTTTTCCGCTTTATGATCTTATCAAATGAATATCTAGGGATATCCGTTTTTAATAATTATCTCCTTCAAGTGGCTCAATTCTTCATATATGACTTTGTGACTACGGATTCATCGTATTCTTGTTGTGAGTGTTATTATTAAGTTCCTTTTTCATTGATAAGAACATAAAGCCTTCCTTTCGTCTTCTTCTTTCTTTCATCACACTCTTCTTCCTTTACAGCCATCTGCTTCACCTTCCATCTTTCCCTTAAATTTTTTACCCCCAACTGGTTTATTTTGTTTCCACGATCATCCTCATTACATTCAACCTAAATTTTAATATTTATCTTATCATGCTGAGCTATGGATGTGAACAAGGAAACAAGAAGCCCTGACAAACTACGAAGGCTATTTTTCGGGACGTTATTTCATTTTATTCAAAGCTTGGAAAACACTGACATTTATTTTCGTCCCTAATCTATTCTACAGGACATAAGCTTTCGTTCGTTGTATAACTCACTGCCATACCCTTTTCTGTTCCGAAACTATTGTAATTTAAATATGATGTTTTGCACCCTATTTTCTACTTTAATTTCCAGCTTTGGACATAATTGTATTTTTCCTAATTATTGTACGTTGCGGTAGGGTTATTCACTTATTTATTCATGTACCTTTTTACACTAATCTGAATTCAGTGAATTACAGTGGAGTCAGGAATAGATCGAGTAGTGTTCTAGTTGTCGTGTCTTCTCGAATAATATTATCCGACTGGCAATTTTTTTTTAAATAGCCCCCACCCCCTAATAAATTTTTTTCCACCCCCAAATTACAATATTTTTCATCCCCTGTTTCGTCCAATGAAATGGCTAGTTTTGAAACTTTGATGTAATTGGTTAGTTATGTCTTGAAAATTGTTATAAATTATCAGTAGTTGTATACGATGTACATATAATTTGTCTTTATGGAGGACAGTAACCTTCCCAGTGCAAGTGCTGTTGTTTCTCACGTAACGGAAATGGAGGAAGTCTTTTTAGCAACCTTGTTTCTGGTTGCGTTCCCATCGGTTGAAGCGTTGAAGACCGCTATCATTAATTATGAAAGATCGAGTTATAGTCATTATGTTGTGCAAGATACGCATATTGGCCGAGATCAAAATTCGTATATAAAATTTGTGTGTTAGAGAAACGGGCGTATAAGATCTAGTGGTTCATCACAGTGTATTAGACGGAGGAGGTAATTTGGTTAATGTTGTTATAATTCGTTTCACGAAGCGCTTCCATGAACACCCAATGTCCGGCTTTCATGTTTTGTAAGATTGTAGACGGCTACTGGACTGTTGTACGTGGGAATGTGCATCACATTCACGAGTGCAGTTCCCTGAGGTACGAAGGTAATTCGTGGGTGCGTAGGTTAACAGATGGGGAGCTTAAAACTGTGAGACCGCTGCTGATATCTGGTACCGCAGCATTCCACGTAAAGAATTTTGCTTACCAATCTTATGGGAAACGACTGACTGATCAAGACGTCTGTAATATGCGGTATAAAGTGTTCTCACACGCGAATTAGGCCGGTCACTTTTGTAAAGTTATTGGTTTTGACGGGACGTAGAAAACCAATAACGAGAACGTCCATTTATATCAAGTAGTTGCCCTGGATATGAATTTTAAGGATATACCCATCTGCATTGCCTTTTTAAGTCATGAAACGTCAACATTAATTTCTACGTTCCTGCGTTTTTTCCAACGGTGTAACAACAATCGACACGTGGTAGGCATAGGATGAAGGTAACCGACTATGCGATATCTGTAATCTTGCTCAGCCGCCTTGTGAAACTAATGATACGGTTGGTTGGGTTCTCTGTAGATGTGAAGCTATGTTTCATACTTTCTGTGCCTACGACCCATCAACGAACATCCGAGCCGTTCACTGTCCTAAAACAAGAACAAATAAAGGCCCTTTTCAGGGCCACCCACAATTTGATTTACAATTTGATTTTTTCTATACTTCGTTTCCATGTCAAAGGTCAAGTGATTAAGATATGCCTTAGAGATTAATAATGGAAATTAATATCTAAGGAATTATCGCTCATGTATGTGTAAACTTATTTCTAACGTTTATTAGATATAAAGCTTAACAAAAGTTAGACAACATTTTGTCATCTAAGGAACACTAATCTACTAATTTTAGATTTCAAATACTGTGATTACCGTTCACGTATTAGTAACACATTTGTAAACTATCTAGTAATAGTACATTTTTAATATAGTGAAAATTTCATTAGTTGAAATCATGAATCAATTGAAGCTAGACCACCATGAAAAATTTGGAAACACTGGACGGCCGTTTCATCCTAGTATGGGACTCCTCAGTAGTACGCATCCACGATTCCGCCCCCTACAGGATTCGAACCCAGGACCTAACAATGCTGAACGTTTGCATCTGTTCGGATAAATATATATACTTACAAATTGTAATATTTGCAAATTACAAAAGTCATTATTCAATATAGGTCAGCATGATTTGCAGTAAAGTGTTCAGTCATAATAACTATAACAGGATTATGGGGAAAATTGAAAACGCAACAAATTTTCTGTCAAATTAATGAGAATTGAATCGTGTCAATTGAGATAATAATAATAATAATAATAATAATAATAATAATAATAATAATAATAATAATAGGGACAATACATGATAATAACATTTTACATGTTCATTGATGCCAGTTGACCTTATTCATATTTATACGTTGAATGTCGATAGATATTTGTTAAGTTAGACAATGTAGGCTTGTTCATTTACACTTTATGTAACTGACATTTCAAATGCTTGTCAAAAATGGTTACATTCATAATGTATAGATATTTAAGCTTTTTTATTACGGTTAAAAATATTCAGAAAAGACTGATTAAACACACCAGTTTTTATTACAATCGACAAATTAATTTCAGCATACAGAGTCAGTCAGTCAGTAACAACGTAGAACTTCGTACATACATACATCAGTTCGAGTTGCCATACCACATTAGCAAAGAGATTCAGTTATCGATTCAAATCCCATAGTGGTAGAAGTTGTGATCGGGAACATTAGGATTTGATGATGTTATTTAAGGAGTATAATCCAGTGAAATACATTTGGAAAGAAGACAAAGGACATGAAGAATTCAGAAGATTAGAGTTTGGGAGAACACAGACAGTGGATGCACCTGCGCCATTGCAAACGATTTTGAGCCATGTCATTCAAGGTCTCTAACCATCGGTTGCTATCATCTCGCGGTCCCCGAGCAGGTAGTCTACACCTACCAACATGGCTCAGTCCACTTGTCAGTGACTTCATGGATTTGTGCCATGTTTTGGTCTGGCCGCCCCTAGCTTTCTTCCAACCCACTCCTACACCATAAAACATAGCACGTCGGAGCATTCGGTGGTCGAGCATGCGCAACACATGTCCCGGCCCTCTCAACTGATTAAGTTTCACTACTTCATCAATTGATTTGCCATCCTTACCTAGTATCCGTTTCCTAACAACTGAATTACTTACTCGGTGATCCCAGGATATACGAGCAATGTTTCGAAGACACCTATGATCAAATATTAGCAACCTACGAATATCTTGTACTCTTACTGGCTATGTTTCACTGCCATAAAGTATGACGGGACGATTCGCTACGCAGTAAAGGCGTCCTTCCTTTGGTACACGGATATCTCGTCTACGCCACAAATGACGCAAGTTGGCAAAAGCTAGTCGAGCCTTCTGTATCCGTACTGAGATGTCGTCACACATCAAACCACAAGGGCTGATGAGACTTCCAAGATAAGTGAAGCGGTCGACACGCTCAACTACTTCACTCCCTATCACTAGTTCGGGTGTCGATGCAATCCAATCCTGAAGCAACATTTTGTATTTCGAGGGAGAAAATCGCATCCCGAACATGCCTACATTGTTGCTTAGAGTGGTCAGCAGACTCTGCATTTTGTCAGCGTCTTCACCAAATAGAACTATGTCATCGGCATATTGTAAGTCAACAAATGAAAAACAATAAACCCTTTCAATAGATTTTAAAATTAACCACATTCCAATCTAACATTTTCTATTTCTCATTAAAAATGACCATTTACAAATTAAACGTTGACTAAATATGAAGTAACTATTTTTGGAAATATTCTTACCACTTCAGTAATAATTTATTTATCAATTGGGTATTTAACATTAGACTAACAACCTAATTCATGAATTACTATTATCATATATTCAAACCAGTTTTCAGTTCCTCTTTTTCCCTAAACTTTCTTTGAACGTATTCGTGGTAACAACTAATTAACAACTTCTATTGAAAGTTAACATTAAATCACTGAATCGGAAATCAAATATTTATGTCAATATACATTCACTAACACTAGAATTTCAGTTGGTGTTTATTTTGTTTCTTGTAAAGTCTACATTGTTTTTTAACACTACCATTACACAAAAATAATTATTTATTATTATTATTATTATTATTATTATTATTATTATTATTATTATTATTATTATTATTATTATTATTATTATTATTATTATTATTATTATTATTATTATTATTATTATTATTATTATTATTATTATTATTATTATTATTATTATTATTATTATTATTATTATTATTATTATTATTATTATTATTATTATTATTATTATTATTATTATTATTATTATTATTATTATTATTATTATTATTATTATTATTATTATTATTATTATTATTATTATTAAATTTCAAATGTAAAAATGCTATTTCTGACATCTAATCAAACCACTAGATGCTATTTCGATTTCAACTAATCAGATTGCAAAGATCAACAGTTTACGATCAATTACACACTTGCAAAACAAGTACACCAATCAAAGATACCTAAATTTTTCATTCACACCCTACCATTTTTTTAAAATGGGGTGGTAGGGATTCATATTTGCTGGGCAATAAATGTCGACCTGTCTTCTCTCACTTGTGTGCTTGTCAGCCAATCAGGTGACAGAATAGTTTTCTTCTCTCTACCCCTCTTGGAACTCATGCATAACTAGCCTCAAGGTTAACTCGGTCAGCCTATCTCGTTCAGATGTTAATCTTGATTAGATAAGTAGCATCAGTACCAAAAGTGGTTAGACAGATCAAGAACGTAACAGCTATTCTATCCCAATGATATTTTCCCTATCTATCGTTTGATGAATACTTAAGCCATGAACAATCCAAGAATTTTATAATAACCTCACTGTCACCATGTACAGCACTAGTTTATTATCAGTAGTATTATTATCATCCGGTTAAAGTAAGCACATATATATTAATGATTGTACAGCTTTGAAAATGAATTCACCCAAAAAGGGGAGAACTCTTCGTTGAACTAATCTTTCTTAAGAAATGCCAAAACTCTATTTAGGCAAAAGAAAATCGTTGAGTCTTACCATTTTGGTGTTGACTGTTTTATACTATGACAGATTTTGAGATGATCAGATAATTGGGAATTACTGAATTGAGCATGGATCCATTGGTATCGTTCAACTCGATGAAGTATATTTATGTAGTTGGAAATTCTGAAATAGTAACTAACTGACTGAATGAATACAGATCTAATCATACAAAACAAACTTTCATAAATTTTGATATACAGACTAAAGTTTTAAAATCACACCTCATAAATAAACTCAAATACAACACGGAGAACAGCAATTCAACCACACTTGATGGCGAAACTCTGAAAGATGAAGAATCCTTCACATACCTGGGAAGCATCGTCGATAAACAAGGAGGTTCAGATGCAGATTTAAAAGCAAGGATTGGCAAAGTAAGGGCCTCATTCCTTCAATGAAAGAACATATGGAACTCAAAACAACTTTCAACCAATATCAAAGTCACAATCTTCAATACTAACGTCAAGGCAGTTCTACTGTACGGAGCTGAAACTTGGAATACTACAACAACCACCGTCAAGAAGGTGCAAGTATTTATCTACAGTTGTCTACGCATGTTACTCAACGTCCATTGGCCAGATACCATCAGAAACAGCCTTCTGTGAGAGAGAACAAAACAGCTTCCGGCTAAAGAAAAAATTTTGAGATGGTGGAGAAGATTTGTAGCTCAGGTGGAAGCGGAAAAGAGAAAGGCCAAAGAACACATTACGTCGGGAAATAGAATCAGACATAAAGTGGATGAATAACAACTGGAAAGGATTGCCCAGGACAGGGTTGGATGGAGAATGCTGGTGAGTGGCCTATGCTCCTTCACGAAGAAAAACAGGCGTAAGTAAGTAAGTCATAAATAAACGATATTTGCATTCATTATCATTAGTTTGTATTTTGCACTAACTGAGTAACAATTTAATTTTCGAGATTATCATAAATGAACTTCATAGATAACATGCATTGGACTATAGACCTTTAAGGTTATATCATTAATCAATTGAAAGATTTTAAGAAGGTGGGGGGGTGTATACATTAAGCTAATTAATATCAAATAAGACGAAACATGTCCTTAGTTTCACTGTAAACTAAACTTGTTTAGAATTATTTTTTCCTGGTTAACGTTATTTTAGCGAGTTAGTTCTCTACGGGATAGGGTCACTAACCGCAAACACAACCTTCCTCCTTTAGCCGAACTTGAGACCGGTAGTAATTTTAGAAGAGCTACTAAAGTTAACATTTAAATGTTACATTTATTGTTCACAAAATTCTGTTTCTACGCATATAGCATAGTAACAATAATGAATAGTTTTAAATGACCTAACATTGAGACAACTTTGTATTACTTAATGTATCCTAACATTACTAATATACAGTATATCACTAAATGTAACTATTTATTGTTGAATTACACATATAGCTAATGGCATATTCATTCATTGATCGTCAAGTGACATTCAATATTTGATATGTCTAGCATATATCGTATGAAATTACTGAACTATATTATTATACAAGGTTATCAATTTGGTGTGATCACCTTTAATCCTTCGGTCTATAATCACAAATGGTATGATCAGAGTGTGTGTGTTGGTTATCATATATATATATAACTTGTATTTACCGCAGTAGTATATTTCAAAATTGAGACTACAAAAACTGGTTTTTCTATGTGGTTCACAATCTTTTTCATACTCTTCTGGTCATCAGTTTGGACAGAACATATTCCTGTCAGTAAAATTCATCTGAATCAACATGGAATGTTCACAGATCCTCGTGGATTCATTAGATTATTTAGAGGATTTAACAATGTCCGAAAATCATTCCCATGGTATACAGTAAAATCTTTGAATATCACACAAATGAAGATTTTTCAAAATTGGGGTTTGAATGTTGTTCGATTAGGTGTTATGTGGAGTGGAGTAATGCCAAATATATCAATAGTGAACACTACATATTTAAATCAAATTGAAAAGTTGATTGATTTATATGCTGATCATGGAATTTATGTGATATTAGATATGCATCAAGATGGATTATCGAGTCGATATGGTATTTACGATGGTATACCACTTTGGTTAATTGATCGATTTAAAAGACCACCATACGTTTTGCAACAGCCTTGGCCGTATAAAAAGTTGCCCAAATGGGATGGGGCGTATTATTTAACTTACGAATGTACGAATGGAGCTCAACAGTTATATCACAATGTATCAGGTGCTTGGATTCACTGGGGTGATTTTTGGGAAACCGTAGCTAAACAATTTGGAAAGAAGTCAAATGTACTTGGTTATGATTTGATTAATGAACCTCCACCTGGAAACTTTTATTCTAATCCATTACGAGCGTTTTCAGGTAAAGTTATATTTACTAAATTTATCTTGTGTGAAACTTTAACAATACTTTGAGATTTCAAGTAAATAGATTTGTGTGAGAAGGGGTATTGTGAAGATTGTAGTAATTTCGGAATTTGAGATCATGAGTTAATTGAAGCTAGACCACCATGGAAAACTTGGACTCCTCAGCAGTGCACATTCACGATCCCGCCTCGCGGGATTCGAACCCAGTGCTTAACCACTGAGCCGACATCCGGTGATGTTAATGTCCACGAAATTGAGCAACATATCCACCATTGTCATCAGTGAGTTACTATCTCATAACAGACCCTGTTGAACTCAACTGGTCACTGTTTCTCACTAGAACTACCTTTTGAAGCCAGTCACTAATGATTATATGTTGTTTAGTATCAGAAGGAGGTTTTGTGGAGATTGTAGTAATTTCCATAGTTGAGATCATAAAGTGTAAGTTTGCTGACTTCTAATATAAATGTCATAGTGATATTCGAATAAATGCAACAAAATGAACTGCATTTGCACCATCACCTCTGATATCGATCGATAGTTAGTAATTTATTATGAACTAGATATAGTAAAACACTCACCGTCTCCACTTAAAATATTTCAAATGATTAATGATATCACGTTAAAGGTCCGCAGTTCGATGCCGATGATAATTGGACCTATATTTCATTCACTTGGTTAGTTACTATTTCAAAATTTCCAACTGCATAAACACAGTTAATCGAGTTCATTGTGTTCAACGATACAAATTGATCCATGCTCAATTCACTAATTCCCAATTATATGGTCATCTGAGAACCTGTCATTGTATAACGATCATCTTTATAATTATTAGTCACCATGATGAAACCAGTGTAATTATAATGAATAAATGATTTTACATCTTCCAGACATTCAACAGCATGACATTGTCATATCAACTGAGTAAACAATGAACATCATATTCCAACATGACTTCATGCCATCGATTCTCCAGTAGCTCTTTTCTTTGTATTTGAAGTGATTTTATTGTCATGGAAAGAGTTTAGTTTTCAAGGCAATAAAGATAATTTAGGGTGTAAAACGTGTTTAATTCAAGAAACTTGAAGTACAGCTTGAATTTTGGAATACTTTGTCGATTGAACTGTTTAAATATCTACGTTGTCAACTATTCTATATAACCCTTGACCCTTTATGTAACCGCAGTGATTCCCTTGATACTAATAACTTTTATCTTTCACTACATTTGTAAATTATCGATGTTCCAATAACAACGTACGAAGTTCTACGTTGTTACTGTCTAATCAGTTTTACTCTCCTTATTAGGCCATCATCACCACTTCGTGACTTTTGTCTTACAAACAATCGAATACCACTTAAAACAGAAAATTATTCGGGTTGGTATTGATAATCAGTCAGATATATTTGTGAGACGTAGTAGATTCATGGATCATCTGCTGTGTTTTACACTATTTAGTTTAAACAAAACGCATTCTTTCATGTTCATATGATGGATTTTCTGGTTTCAGGTTATGCTGGTCGATATAATCTACTACCAGTTTACGACTATCTTGTTGAGAGAATACGTAAATATGACAATTCAACATTAATATTCTATGAACCAGTTACATATGGGATATTTACTCCTCTAACCTCTTCAGGATGGTTAGGAACTGGATTTCAACGTGTTCCTGGAGCTAATCACGATAAATCAGCACCGAGTAAAAGTGTTTTATCATATCATTATTATTGTTGGGTATTACAGGCTGATTATCCAAACTCCACAATGCCATTCTGGAAGAGAGTCTTATGTGACTCGGTAAATTTCAAATTCTTTTAAACTCTTAGTTTTCCTGCATTATTTGTTAAACTGTTGTTCATATTATCATTGATATAGTATATCGTATTGTTCAGGTTACTTTCATTGATCAGAATAATTAAATATAAGCTGAATCAAATAGTTAATAAGTACCATGTCATTCAAGATTAGCCTCATTTTCTAATCTGGTGAGGTGTTACCGATACATATCATTCTGTAGTCGCTGATAAATAGACTGACAGAATACTTTCGAAATGAGACTAAGTTAACTTATTTGTTAAATTCATCATACATGTAGGATGGGTGTTCATTGATTCTTTCATTCATTATACCACTTACATGTTTTACGTATTCAAGTGTTGACTACCCATTCCCAGATAGTTATAACAGTTTACTAAGAGATTTACTCGTGTTGACATATCTGTTACATTTGGGATGTAAGAACTATGTGAAGTCGCTTAAAAACAAATTATTATTTATTTATTTATTTGAACACATAAATATTGGTACAGGGAGGCACCAAATATATATGCGCCACACAAAACAATGATAATTTGAAGAGAAGGAGAAAGGAGAAAAAAAAAGTAATGAACGTGGGGAATTATAAAAAAAAAAGAGAGAGAACAATAATGGGGGAAACGGAAAGGTACAATCAGAAGAAATCTTTCAATTAAGGAAGAGGCAACCACTTTTTATGAAGAAATAAAAGAGGTTACAGCAGGATCGCCATTGGCTTCTATTCTGAGCCATATCTGATAACGTCTCTAGCCACTGTGTTACACCGTCTCTCGGACCCCAGCCAGGGAGACGTGAAGGATCAACAGAAGCTAGCCCTTTGCAGCTTTCTTTTATACCACGACACCATGTCATATACTGACCACCTCTCCGCTTTTTCCAACCAGTCCCAGAGTCGGCAAATAATGCACGACGAGGAATTCTCTGGGACGACATTCGTAGAACATGTCCAAGCCACCGAAGTCGGTGTTTCAAGATGGTGACACCAATGGAATTATCGTCTCTGTGACCGAACACTTGATGCCGAACCTCTGCATTACTGACATGGTGTTGCCACTGGATGCCAGCAATCCATCGGAGACAGCGATGATCGAACACAGAGAGTAGTCTAACATCCTCAACTCGGAGAGGCCATGTTTCACAAGCATAGAGCAGAACTGCTCTCACCGACGCGTTGTAGATCCGACCTTTTACAGCCAGACTAACATCACGAAGGCGCCAAAGATGGCCCAGATTGGCATAAGCCGCTCTGGCTTTCACTATACGTGCATTGATCTCATCACTCACGCCACCACCAGCACTTATGCAGCTACCTAGATACACGAACTTCTCGACTACTTCTATCTGCTCACCATCCAGAGTGAGTACAGGATTAGAATCCTGCCAGTCTTGTAGAAGAACTTTGCACTTCGAAGGTGCAAAGCACATACCATACCTACGGACATTGATTGCCAACTGGTTAAGTGCGGATTGCATAGCTTGGGCTTTCTCGCACAGTAAGACAATATCATCCACATACTCAAGGTCGAGAAGTCTTTCTCCAGGCAACAGATCCACACGACCATTACTTACATCCATCAGAGCTGTTTCCAGAATGTCATCGATGGCAAAGTTGAAGAGGAATGGTGAGATTGGGAAACCCTGTATAATCCCACTGCTTGAATGGAACAATGGAGAAAAGTGGTTGTATGCCCTCACTCTGCCTGAGGTGTTTGTGTATAATGCTTTCAGGATGTTAATAAACTTCTCAGGCACACCCTTCTTCAATAGACAATTCCAGAGAACAGTTCTGTCCAACGAATCGAAGGCAGCCCAGATATCAACAAACACTACGATTGTTGGCCTTTGATAAGTATGGCGGTGTTCTAACATTTGGCGGAGGGTGAAGATATGATCAATACATCCTCGACCAGAACGAAACCCAGCCTGCTCCTCACGAGTCAATCCTTCTCGGGTTCTGAACAATCTACGAAGTATGACGGAAGCCAATAGCTTGGACACAATCGGAAGTAGACTTATCCCCTGATAGTTGTTATGGGACGACGTGAACCCATTTTAAAGATAGGGACAACTATCGACTCATTCCATGACGTTGGTACACTCTCTAGTTCCCAGATCTTTGTAAACAACGTCGTCAGTCCCTTAGTCGGAAAGTCACCACCATCTTTAAAAAGAGCCGGAGGTAAGTTATCTGGGCCCGGTGATTTGTAACGTTTCAAGAGTTGGAGTTCCTTGCGGACTTCCGCCTCATTTGGTGGATCAGTCGTCACCGGCCACGGAGGGTAGGACAGTCTGACCGATGTTGCCGGAGCAGCAGGCCAGTTGAACTGCCCTTCGAAAAATTCTGCCCATCGTCCAAGACGTCGATGGATGTTAGTGATTGGCGTTCCGTCATCCTCGCAGATTGTTTCGCTCACACCAGACTTCTTGCTGCCAGTGGCTTGGATGAGTTGGAAGAGCTTCCGTTAATTACCAGATGCAGCTGCTGCTTCCAACTCACTGGCACGCTCCAACCACCAGGCTTCTCGGTCCTTACGCAAGCTTTGCCCGATTTCATTACGTAACATCCTTCGTCTGTGGTCAAACTCACGGTCACCCGGAGTAGACGGACGGGCTTCAATCAGTTGTATGGAACCAGAAGAAACCCAGTGCTTGTAAGCGGGACGTTTCGCGAACCCACAACAGACTGTACCCGCCATTTTCATGGCGTCATGCAATTGCAACCAATGCTCATCTATACTTTTCGGTGGAATGGTAGCTAGCCTAGAAGCTAGCTCGGTTCGGTACTTACTAGCAACAGAAGCTGCAGCCAGCTTGCTGACATCAATCCTTTGGTGGCGGTCACTTCGTTGTCCACTGAAAAGTAAGGTAAGATTGGCGCAGACCAGAGCATGATCAGATCCCAGATAGGTACTCCAAAAGGAGCGGCAGTCTTGTGCACAACCACGCCAGCGGTAGCTGATCGCGATGTGATCAATCTGAGTCCAGGCTTGAGATGCAGAAGGAGGACGCCAGGTGGCACATCGGCGATGACTGTGCCGAAAGTTAGTGCTAGCCAGAAACAGGTTGTGGTCTGTGCATAGTTGCAGTAGAAGTTCCCCGTTATCTGTCCTGCGACCAACGAGTCCCCATCGGCCACCTAAACGACTCTCTTCTGTGCCTACACGCCCGAGCTGAGCATTCAAGTCTCCGGCTAGTACAACAATATCTGTCGAACGCACTTTCTGGAGAAGAACAGTTAGCTGGTGGTAGAACTCATCCTTGATTGCATCCGGGCTGCAATCTGTCGGGGCATAGGCGGAGATGACGAAAAGACACCGTTTCTCATGCCGATTTCTTCTCACTTTGATGGAACTTTCTAATCTAACAGCACATAACCGACTGTTAATGGGGATCCAGTCGATTAGTGCTGCCTCAGCTCTAGCGCTTAGTGCGACACCAACGCCAGCAAGACCAGACGAAGATGCCACAGGGTCCCCGCATAAACGCACGTAAAACAAACATTTTGAAGCGACAGATGGAGAGCGAATTTGTAGTATTTCACCAGAGTCTTGAATACGGGTCTCGGATAGACAACACACATCAATATTAAGAATTTCCAAAGACATAGCCAGCCCTATCTGTTGTCCGACCTGCATAAGTGTGCGAACGTTGAAGGCAGCCAGTTTGAATGGTGCACGTGGTTTCAGAAAAACTGCTTCAGTACTCGTATTCGGTGGCAACATACAATTTTCAACCAGGCAGTGACTCGAGAACGTTTAGATAAAGCTGAATTTCTTACCATAGGCGAGCTGCTGTCTGAGTCGAAACGGATACAAAAACTAGAAATAGGAGATAGTGAATAAATGACGTAGTAAATAATAATAATAATAATAATAATAATAATAATAATAATAATAATAATAATAATAGTACCAGTCATTTCAATGTTAGTCGGAGAGAAACGAATATTTTCCATAAGCCGATGGTTCATCATGGTTTTAGTGTGTGGGCTGAGATACTGCCCGGGTGCCCAAACCGAAGCAGGTGGTTTTCTTAGGGGGCCACACCCCGAGCCTTTGACCTAAAGGTCTAGTCCACAAGGCAGTGGAGCATCGTGAGGAGATGCAGTCCCATGGAAGCCGGTGATCAAAAGTTGGTTCATACGCCATTTGTTCCTTCAGGATACTGGAGCCCATGTGCACCTTGAATTGGTATCCGGTTATAGCGCCGGATATTCGCTTTTCGTCCTCTCATTTTCGTAAACAACACCCCCGCCACGAGAAGGCAGTGAGTAGGACTTCCCTGGCAGAGGCTGTATACGCGTGGCCGTGTGAGAGTATTTCGAGAGGAAGGGCGAACCCTCGCCGCTCCCGGCCATACCAGGGCATTTGGGGGCAAAAAAGTAACACAGTGTTCTCCATATCTTAGACAGTGATTAACATTTCAATCTAAAATATGGTTTCCTCTCTGTTTGAGAATATATGTACATGTACCTTCACCACTTTACATGATGTATATGTTAGAGCTGGTTTACACGATACCAGTAAATCCAGGCTACACTGGGTCATCATTTAAAGAAGTACACATGTGAACAGAGACTGATCTCCAGTATAAAATGTCTTATGGTTAACACCATAACTTGAGCTTAGATGATCAAGTATTTAGAATCGAAAACACGAAATAGTCATTTCACTATTGTTTTTAATAACAAATTATTCAAAAATACTATCGTCGAAAAAATACAGACTTTTACAATGGAACTATCAAATTCAAGGTGCAGGTTTGCATTGCGAAACGAACATCTATATACGAGAATAGGTCTCTTGGAAAACAGAAATTAGTTTTCAACGTTATTCAATAAAACATCCAAGGTCAGAATTCAATACGATCCACTTCTCATCCTTAATGGTTATGTGAAATGCTATTTTCATTTCAGTTTTAGTTAACTTTCTCGTCGTCACCGTTATTTTCTTACTTTGACTCATTCATCCTAGTAAAACAGCATCTTATTCACTGATCCCATACTATCAATAAAAAAGTTATGCTTTTGATTAAGATCATGAACCGATTGATTTTAGACCACCATTGAAAACCTGGAAGCACTGGACAACCGTTTCGTCCTACTGTGATGCCCCTCAGCAGTACGCATCCATGATCCTGCTTGTGGGACTCGAGCCCAGGACCCTCATTCTCGAGCGTGAAGGCTTAACCTCTAGACCACTGATCTTGCTGGCACCCAACGGTGTCAATGTCTAACCTCAACTAATCCATCTTCCATTGTATTGAGGTAGATACCTATCTCTGCCCGACACGGATTAGCTCCACTGGCACGGCTCCTCACAAGAACTTCGACAATTCTCTCACGGAGCTAGTAAGTAGTGCGCACATGGTTAAACGTTCGTGCGCTAGACTGAAGACCCTAAGTTCTAATCCCACAAGCAGGATCATGGATGCGTACTGCTGAAGAGTCCCACAATAGGACGAAGCGACCGCCTAGTGGTTCCAGGTTTTCAATGGTGGTCTCACATCAATAGGTTCATGATCGTGATCAATAACCTAATAATCGCCACAAACCCATACTGACAAAAAAGTTATGCCTCTAAATCACTCACTATCTTATCACCATTTGATTAAATAACGACGAAACCATCTAATTTATTTTCGGATGAAACAATATTCATTATGTATGGTTGAAAACATTGATTATGTACATTGCTATTTGCTTTTCAAATCACATTTAGTTCCTGTTACCAACTGTGATATCCAATGCAATTAAAGCAACAAAAACAACTGGAGGTGGTAGATTTCTAACTGAATTCGGTTTGTGTGGAGATGATGGAAATCCACGTAGTGTAAACACAGTGGAATGTAATGCGATATTGGACGAAGCTGATAAACATTTCGAATCATGGACATATTGGGATGGAAACTTTCTAGATGGCTTAGGAAATCCTATTAAAAGCGAGGTAATAAAATTTTGAACTTATGTGTTCAATAATATTTTCGTTCGAATTTGAGATTATTAGCGAGTTTAATGATTGGTACCGATGAATCAAGAAGTTTACACTTTGAATAAAGTCAAACGTTTATCCAGAAGCATAGTAAATGTTTGAGAACTGAAATACCAACGTTATAGGACCTGTGCTATATTAGCTCAACCGAATCGGTCAGAAAGTGTTACTTAGTTGTTCACTGTAGTCTAATACATTGAGTATGCTCCACCACAATCATTTTGATTGATTGGATTTGCAGTTTCCATAGTTCAGTAACTACTATAAAACCTAACAAGCTTATATAATGCTGGTTTGAAACTGAATGAACTTGCTGATGGATTTATACATACACGAATAGTTTACATGACTCGTATTGAGTATGATTCAGTGTATTATTTCTCATTATTATTCATCTTTCTCTCATATCTACAGGTGGAATCTTTCATTCGTCCTTATCCTCAATCAACAAATGGAATATTTCGTAAACAACAATTTAATTATAAAACTGGAAAATTTCGTTTCTCTTTCATTACAAATCGGTTATGTAATCAAACTAATGAGAAACAATGTTTAATTGCAGAAATATACATACCATTATCTGTACATTATCCAAATGGATTTGCAATGAATATAGAACCAAATTATTTAATTACTGAAATGAAGGCAAATATCCTGTCTATATACATGCCAACTAATGAACAGAATAAACGCGTAATTGTTGACATTGAAATTGTTAGAAAATAACTTCTCCCACCCCCCAAGTTGGATATGACTTGAGTAAATTATCATTGCCATTATACAAACGATGTATTCATTAACATTTAACTGAATAGTTGAAATGAAGTTTTATACAAGTAATACAATGGTTGTTGTTCATTGTTGCTATTTGAATTATTTTTCTTGGTTAGCGTTTTTGAGCGAGTTAGTTTTCTACGAGATGACTTCTCTAACCCGATGCCCAAACCACTCTATTTTATCCGGGCTTGGGACCAGCAGTAGCCTCAGATGGGCTCCACGAGAAGTTATTGTTAATATGTATGACAATATAATTAGAATAAACGGTTCACTCGATGAATTTCATACTTCTTATTCATTTTAGTCAATCGTTTGTTAGGATCTATTCAGGTGAAACAATGAAATGTTTTTTTTCATATTGTGAAAGTTCTTCATTTCATAATAAATTAATCAGTTAGTCAGGTACAATGTAGGATCAAGCATATATATGCACTGTTTCAAGTTGCCATACCTTATTAGCACAACATGCTGTACACCAGATTCAATGGTGGTAATATATAAAAGAAAGATTGCATATAAGTGTACACCTACACCGTTGTGAGTCTCCAACCATTGGTTACGATAGTCACGTGGAACGCAATCAAGTAGTCTGCATCTGTTAATATGGCTCATAATACATACTCTTACTCACCACGTGCTCGTACAGTCATTACTGATTAGTGTATGTGACCAAGTAAGATGAACAATGAACCTGAGCTCTTTCTATCAGTCTCCGTATGAGGAGATGGATTTATAAATATCCATGCAAATAGTAAGATGCGAACAGTTTTTCTTTAGATTGCTGACTAACATGGGTTAACTGGACGACAACCACAATTTTAGTTCAACGAATGGCTTACAAATTACAAAATATGTGTACAAGTGCAGCTCAATGGAAGAGCGAGCATATGATAGGTAACTGATTGTTTTCGAAGATTGTGCTTCTTATTGTTGTCAACAAATCTCGCTGATTATGCATATTCGATAAGAACGTTTTTCTAAAGGACTTATTCTCCATTTATGAAGTCAAGGCTGACGATTCTCTCAACTGATGTTACAAGAAGTATAATTAAGTTTATCATTTTGCTAATAGAGGACCAGCTACAGAAGCTTGCTGCATGATCAATCCTTCAAAACTTACTAGAAAAAAATCTGAAATTACCATAAAGTTTGATTGCCATTTCCTTATTAAGAAATTGTGATTCGGTTTTGCGCTGTGAAGTGTAACGCTGGATGTAAATCGTAGAACGTCCATAGAATATTATTTCAGGCGTATCTGTACTACCCTTCACTTTTCACAACTGAACTATCAGACTCGCCGCAACCAATTAGATGTTGCATCACATCTGATGTAAAATTTTATCTGAAGTACGAATACAGTTCAATTTTTCCAAAATGTAAATATATTTTCTACACAATCAACGAACCCTTGATAAAATTTGTCAGATCGTCAGTTTAAATTACGAACCGTTCTAAGCTAGACCTCCTTTAAGAACCTGGTGGCACCAAACTGTAGGTTCTCTCTAATATGGGACTTCTCAAATATGTGCATCCACGACCCACATTCGAAAGTGGACCACTGAGACTTCGGTCTTGCGCGTGAACGCTTAATTTCCAGATCATGAGTCAGCCTAGATGAGTCCTCAATAAAAATTACAATACAACGATGCTTATACTATCAAAAAATATAATATAAGTACCACATCAAAGACTATACACAGCGGTAAATCACTGAAATGCTTATAATTTCACATGTGATTTCATAAAGGTTTGAACCTGTTCCATTTTATAGTTAAGATCAAACATATCAAGTTGAATAATGCTCAGAAATTTCTAGTTGATATAAGTTTATATAACTTTACACAAACTGCTCAAAATAACATTGCCAAATTTTCAGGATGTTATCACATCTCTCCAAGATGTCTAGATATTGAACGACTCATGGTAAACATAAACAATGAGAGCTAACCTCCTGGTCCAGTTGAAATACGAGTTGGAAGTCAGTAAATATGTTTATTGTTTAAACGGTCAACAAATAACTAACGTGTGTTCTCATAAGACGACTCTCAGTAAGCGAGTCGAGAGCGAGAATGTAAAGCGTGCAGTGCTTCTAACCAAAGGTACGAATGTTCGATGTTTTACCACAGATGGCGTTGCTTAACGTGATTTCCATCACTAAGTAGATCATCCAGTCTAAAGCGCTTTGTCTCCTTAGTTGAATAAATATCCTCTGAAATTTTATTATAAATCTTAGTTCGTGCTTCAAATTATTCTTTGAAGCAGCAAACAAACGAATCTAGAATTCCTCCAGAGATCATAAGTATTCAAAAACAGAAAATGAATTCAAGTGAGAATTAAACAGAAAGTTTGCTAGTTGGTTTCAGTTAATCCATCACTCAAAATGAGCCCTCAACCCTCAAAAGTAACTGACAAAATACACGTTAGTACAAAGTGGAAAGAAAAAGTTAGTTACTCATTATGTGTGTCACAAAGCCATAAAATCTTCGTTAATAGTCGTGTCTTAATCGAATATAACATATTGGACAACATAGTTTGTTATTTTACAACGGTCATACAACATAAATAAGCCAAAATAAAATTACACCTTGTTTCATTTACACATGATTGAATTTGTCTTAGTAAAATGATTGTTCACATTATCATCGATGTGATATCGTTACAAACTCATCAAATTAGCAAGTAGTGGTGGGAATTTTGTTACAGTTTTCACAGAGTACATATTGACGAATGGAAGTATCATTTCAGTCATGCGCACTACCAATCTATACACACATATATCTATCCAACTATCTATCACACACTATGTATATGGTCAGATTATCAAAGTTCAAATTAATCCACTCAGTGATTGTTTTCATCAATATTACCAAATAAAACATTTTCATATCCAACTAAACTAGTTTTAACTGATCTTGACCTTTGATAGAGATCATAATACCATCATCTTTATAAGAAGGGAATCAATAAGAAACTTTGATCGTGCTATACGTTTTAAAGTTATGATCAAGAAAATCTGCGAAAATCTAAAACGTGCGTGACAATTCCTAAATACTCATCTTCACTTTAGGCAATGGTAAACCAATGGTCGGCGTCCTATGAATTGCTGTTATAGTCAATGTAATATAACACATTCACATCATCATTGAATTCATGCGTGTAGTAGATGTTTTAGTAACCTACTGAATACTATGTATTGTATCCAGATCTACCGATGTCAACAAGGGATAATGTAGGTGTATTATCAATTTCGAAGATGTTTTGTGAATGGAAATCTCTGTATATTTACACTTGTAATTTGTTGTTATCGATTCCTTCACTTGCACATTCGGTTAGTCGATTTAATGTTGAAAATTGTATTTTATTATGGTTTTTGGTTTCGTTACAGCTTCACTGCGTTTCCATGTTTCTTCATGAGTTATATTTAATTTGTTTAAGTTGATACTCAGTCTTGACGGCAGGCATATTGATTTGCCCACCCCATTTCATTGTGTTGGTTCATTAACTGGAACTGTGCACTTTTGACTGTGTATTGAACCAGTCTTACCGAATTGGAAACACTGTGTGTTATAACGTAACCATGTGTTATCTTTCGAACGAATCTGTGTGTGATCTATGCAGAAAGGACAGAATAACATTTATTTGTTGCACTTGGTAATTCTCCTACACCCTTTGTCAAATTGTATATTTATTGTAATTTAGAAGTGACTAGTGATTGAACAATCATTGAGTGAATAACTGTGTGGTAATAATTGTTCAGGAAATAATGTATATTTATACGTATGATGAATTCTGGAATCGTCAATCATCCAATTTCCTTGTTTTGATTTCAACTGGGCAATACCGCGTATCTCCATTAATTGCACAGTCATTCTTCATTCCAAACCTGAATTTGGAATCTACAGTAGGAGCAGAATACTAGAAAGAAGAATATTTTCAGTAAATATGTCTTGAAGTAACACTGACCAAACATTTGTTATCCTCATAATGCCATCTGTGAGACGTGATATATTCACTTGTATGAGTATTTAAGTGGTAGTGAAGGAAGAGTAAAGGTAATCGTCAACCCGGAGTTCAGAAAATGGGAGTGAATTTATTTCGCAGAACAATGTTGATAAATTATTCAGGAGTCTGGATAGTTCATTTGTTAATCAATTCGAATAGAGAGTAAACTTAAAATGAGACACTTCTATATTTGAGGAAGAGTAATAAACGTGATGATCGAAGAGATTTCTAAATCAACTGAGGTTTGACGATATGGATAATTCAATGACAATCATTCATATGATCGACCTGGAGTCAGTTGCAGGACCATTAAAATGGAGATTTATGACTGAGGTGGGTTTTTTGGTGCAGTTCGTTTTTTAATATATGGTTTGATGGTAACAGTTTCATTGTTGTTCTGGAGAACATCATTAGCACAAGCTTAGAGTAGACGTACAGCTACACAATTCCTCCGCATATAGTTTATATCTTATATAGTAGTCATTATTGAGTAATACTAAATCATTGACCGCAGCCAAATTTAGTGCAGAACTAAGAAAATCTATGAAGACGATAACAATACTATCGTTATTTTTAAGTTGATTTCAAGGATACATGTAATTTATCAAAACGCATTATCTTGGCATAAGTATATTTGATGGGTAAAGTGTGTGGCAGAAATATATTAAAATTTCATGTACCAAAATGACTGATTTGTCAGAGGTTTCACATTTAAACCACAAATAAATTTGGAGAGGTGAAATATTGGAAGTTGATTGTTAGTTCAACTAAATATCATGATTAACTAACTTGGAGGATGGACTGATACGTTCAATGGAATGATATTTCTAGATTGTATCCTTCTTAAATGTGAAATTTTGATTGTAATTGATTTTTAGTTTATGGAATATTTAGTTCCTTAGTGGATATTTTTCCAATTCGTTAGATGTTCATGCACATAATTCAGTGATGATAGTTCTTTTTTATTTAAACAACCAATATATTCTCAATACAAAATTAAAAATACCGTGGCAAATTTTGAGAACCTTACACTAGACACTTCATTTGTGAATTTCAATCATTTGCACTTCAACTTCTGTATGGCTCTTTCAATTCACAATTCCTCTATATTTTCCTTTCTATTCTCTTCAACTCTATCTTTTTAGCCTTCTGCTACACGGTTTTCTACTTCTGATTGGTGTTACATACTACCCATATATGACGACATAGTTAGCATAACACCCACTACTACAGTGGGTGAGAAAAGATCGTAATGCGTAAATAAAAGATGAAGACTAG